GATTTTATGACATGGAAAATTAAAAAGTTTTGAACTCACTGTGTAGTCAATCATAAGTTATTAAATAACTGAGTCATGTCAGTTAAATGAAGAAATGCTGCAGCTGATTGATACCATTAATTTATTTGAAATAATCGAAGTAGATAATTTGGGCCGTCGCTTCGAAATGGAATTTCAAAAATGAAAATTGATTGACCTAATTTATAAAAATGAAGACATAGTGAGAAAGCGTACAAACCTATTATAGAAAATGGTTTGTTGATGAAGTTCTGACGTGATATGGCGCCATAACGATAATACAGTTGGTCAGATACTTCATTGAAGATTTCATAAGAAATCTTAGATCCTCCATTTGCATACACCATATAATCAACAGTAAAATAAATTTGCGGAGAAAATTTGAAACTGTACATCGCAATTTTATCGATATATGGATGTGAAGACTAGTACCAATAAACGTATTTTTATAAAGTCCGCGTGTATTTGCTTTTGGTATTATTATTTGGAGGATGGAAGAGATTTGGTTCAAAGAAAAATAATGAATGCGTTTAACGATGATAAATCCCGTTATAGCGCTGACATCGCGATGTTACACACAAGGAGTAGATTTGGTGTCTCTACACAATCCTTCGGAGTAAGGTCTTAGTACCTATTTATGGAACCAATTGATAGGCCCATACATGATTAAGAAGCGGCAAATTTGTACACGACTGAGATGACAATTAAGAAAAAATTTAATTGTGTCGATCGACGAGTTTTACAATGCAATTACAAATAATTGAGAAGAATAGATCGCCGATAGAGGCAATTCAATGAGACTTAAATTTAATTTGACATTGACAACTTGAAGATGACAATTATGAATATAATTGTGTCGATCGACGAGACTTAAAATGGAATAGCAAAACATTAAGAAGAAAAGATCGCCGATAGAGGCAATTCAATGAGATATAGATTTCACATGACTTAGAAACCATGATGATGATAAATAAGAAAATTAATTAATTATGTCACTCGACGTGCTTTGCAATGAAATTACAGTACATTAAGATGAATAGAACGCCGATAGAGGCAATTCAATGAGATATAATGGGAATAAACAAGTGATCACTATTTAGAATTCTAAGTTATATAAGATGAGTAAAAAAGATTTTAATAAATGAATTTGTTATAGGAATCATAAGTTAAAGAATTCGTACATTAGAACATTTATAGGCCTATTAAAATGTATAATCGTACGCAATTTAAACCATTTGATTTGTTAAAACTATAACGTCATTAGTAAAATTTATATTTAGATTTTTAATAATTAAATTTAAAGATAGAGATAAAGAGATAATTGTTAACATTAGTTGTTAATTAAAAAATGTTATTAAGAAATAATAAAAAATAATAATGGTCAACCAAACGACACCTTTGGCAAATATGGGTCAAGAATCAAGCACAAGAAGCCAACGCTTAATTCAAAATCGTATTACAGATGATTTCTGTTATTTGGCTAAACCATTTAAAGCAACTAAAATGAAGTTTAATAATCCAAGAATATATGTTAATGGATATTTGAAAATTGAAAATTCGTAAAATAATTGGATTAGGATTTTATAATTATAATAAATTCTGAAAAATAAACTGGTGAATATTTAATAATCACTGACTTGAAGATGACTGCAATATTATTTCAAGACATTCGCAATTGAAAGAAATTGGTATTAAATACCGAATATAGAGTCAATTTATTATGAATAACGATACGAAGACAACTACAAAATAATTTATCAACATAGTCCACTTTTATAAACTGATTGAAGGATAATTTAAGGAATCAAATGAAAAACAAGTTTATTATAATTAAGAAAAAGAAAGATGATATTGGTGAATTTATCAAATATAGTTGGTTTATTATAAAATGAATAAACCGATACGAAGCTGAGTAAGAAATCGAATATTATATTGGTTGGTAATGGGTATGAAGATGTTGACTAGAAATTATAAATAAAATGAATAATGAAAGAGGCAACGATAACAAACAAACGGACAGCATGTACGTCATTAAATAAAATAGCTTAAATTTATTTATGTAATGCTTGAAATTTTGAAATTTGTAATTAGTTGATAAAAATTAATTGTAAACTATTGTGTACATGAGGGGTAGTTATGAACCAGACGTAATTTCTTAATTACGCATCTGAGGACAGATGCAGACTTGAAGGGGTGGAAGTGTTATAGGTAGTCACTGCCATTTCAATGCTATACTGATTGGTGTTTTAATGCTATAATTATTTCAATACAAAAGTGATTTTTGTTTGTGTTTAAATTTACTAAAGTGAATTTAACACAACGCTGTTTTATTTTTATTTAAATAATTATATTTGCTTAATACTAAATTCTAGAATTCACTTTTAAAAATGCATTGAAATGTTACACAGAGAAGTGAATAGTAAACACCTACTTTTAAGTAAAGTTTTATTTTATTTTTACTTAGTATTTCTCTATTAAAATAATGATTTGAAATGTTATACAAAACAGTGAATAGTATACTCCTACATTTTAGCAAAGTTTTATTTTATTTTTACTCTATATTTCACAGTTAAAATAATGTATTAAAATGTTATACAGAAAAGTGAATAGTTTACGCCTAGGGATTAAAGCTGACTCAATACGACCTAATTATTTCTCACGTACACTTTAGTATAAATAGTGGTGTCTCTCAGACATCAAAATCAGTTCTCTTCGGAGTTCTCTTTGGAGATCTCTTTCGAGAGTTCTCTCCCGAGAGTTCTCTTGGAGTGCTACAGTGTATAACTGACTCTAAGAAGAAATAAAGTATTTGCATATTACTTTGTGTCTATTACTTACTCGTCGCGGCTGGTGGACTTGGATTGCATCATGAATTACATTATAGATGTTATACTGATGGAAGCTGACCACGATTACATCATGGATAAAATTATGGATTGAGTCATGGAAATAAACCATGGATTACGTCGCGGATGACATTATGGATCACATATGGGTTCACTACAGGCCCAACGGTTCTACAGGCTACAGTTAACATAATGGACAGCTATCGAACGCCGCGCCGATGGAAGTCGACCACTAATTACGTAAGCGAATACTATTTAGAGGGGAACTCCGGTACTGTGTCCGCTACACGGTAGGATCTGACCGGTCCGACCAAAGACTAGTGTTGACACGTGACGACGTTGAGTAAACCTTATTATTGGGTAACCTATTATATGGTATGCAAAAGTAAGCGCAATGATAGGTTAGCTCAGATATAGTAATAAGTGACTAGACACATTAGTCTACTGTCACACTGACCTACTGGCCTACAACTGGCCTACAACTGGTCTACTACTGGCCTACAACTGGCCTACAACTGGCCTACAACTGGCCTACAACTGGCCTACAACTGACCTACAACTGGTCTACTACTGGCCTACAACTGGCCTACAACTGGCCTACAACTGGCCTACAACTGGCCTACTGACCCTAGGTCAAGGTCACATGTCCAAGGTCAAGGTCACATGTTCAAAGTCAAGGTCACACGTCCAAGGTCAAGGTCACATGTCCAAGGTCAAGGTCACATGTCAAAAGTCAAGGTCACACGTCCAAGGTCAAGGTCACACGTCCAAGGTCAAGGTCACACGTCCAAGGTCAAGGTCACATTTCCAAGGTCAAGGTCACCTATACAAGGTCAAGGTCATCGAGAACTGGAAATCGGGTTTTATGTACTGATGTCAATGGTACTTGTTGGAGATCAGTAGGACAAATGGTTATGGAGATATCAAGGAAAACATGTTTACCAAAACAGACCTTAAACTAGACTTTGTACCAATCAGTTGGATATCCGTACGGTAGTATTATACGGATAGTTTATGCAAGGAACAGCATAAACTAAAACAGTCGGTCGACTAAATACTACACAAAACAACACATAGCTTTGTACACAACCAGTGATAGGAGATCCGCTCGCTCCTTAAGCCACACACCGATAGAGATGATAATGCTGGTACGTACAAGGCACAGTAAGGGCTTAGTCTTAAGCAATAGTAGGGTTTACATCACGGGTTGATGAACACTCATAGAGTGTTCACAAGTAAAAATATACCCGTGATAACCCCACTTCCCTTACAATATATATTGTTTGTAAAGATCTTATTATTAGATATTTATATTATAAGATATACTGATTGATATACATTACATGATATACATTACATAACATCACATATACTAATGTAATGTATATATATATATATACTTTAGATAAGTATGTAGTCTATTATGTTTAGATATATTGATACAAATACAAAAAAAAATTATTTTTAGATTTTATATATATATACAGTATATATATATTGATTAGCTAACTCAAAGTAAACTTAATTATATTAGACAAATAAATAAATAAATATAAAATAAAATAAAATACCAATAAATTTATGCTCCAAAAATTGTTTAATTAAACTTTATATTTGTTAAACATTATAAAACATTTTTTATTAAAATATATAAATAGCATATACTGTATATAATACTGTATATACAGTATGTACTGTACTGTATATACACACAATATTTGTTAAGACAACATATTATTAGTGAATTATATATAAATTTTTATTTATATATTGTATATAAAAAACACTTGACTGTACTGTAATTTATTATATATATATTGAAAAAAGTATCAATTATTTACTAAGTATTAAGTATTTAATTTGATTTTTTATTATTAAATGATTTGTTAATAATAAAACACTAAATTTTTTTTTATTTAACTTATTTATTTATATCAATAAATTTCAACAAATATTTTATTTTGCTAACAAAATAATTTCTAAACTTAATAAATAAAAACTTTTATAACTTTTATGATAAAATAAATATTTTTTAAACACACACACAAATAAATATACGTTAAATTAAATCTAATAGATTATATAATATAGTTAACAAAAAAAATTAATTATATATACAGATTAACTACAGATTAACTACAGATTAACTACAGATTAACAAATAATTTATTTACTAAATAAAATCAAATAAATAAAAAAAACAAAAACAATATTCTATTAATTACTAATTAAATAATAATAATAATAATAATAATAATAACTACTGTTTGTTATTAAAATTTTTATTTTGATATATAAATTATTTATTTATATGTTTTTTTAATAATTACAAATTTAATTATTATTATTATTATTATTAAATTCAGCTTTATCAATTAATTGGCTCAACTGGTATATCAATAGTACATCTATTGGCTTATTGTTCGTGTTTTAATTGCTATATCTATTGTTTTTTGCACAACAAGTTTCGTGAGGTATTTATTATTATTATTATTATTATTATTATTATTATTATTATTATTATTATTATTATTATTATTATTATTATTATTATTATTATTATTATTATTATTATTATTATTATTATTATTATTATTATTATTATTATTATTATTATTATTATTATTATTATTATTATTATTATTATTATATAATTAAATTATATTATAAATATGGCTATAAATAATTGAATTAATATCAATATAATATTATATACTTTAATTTATTTATTTAATTTTTTTTTCAATTAATAATACTAATAAAAATTTTATCATTATAATTGTTGTGCAATTATATTTTTGTTGTTGTTATATATTGTAATTAATAATACTGTAAAAAATAATATGTATATAAAATAGGATACTATATATATATATATTTATATATTTATCTAGAAATCTATTGATATTTTCTTTGAAATAATTTAGTTAATAAAAAAACTTATTGTGAAATAGTTATTGAGACTTATTTACGAATATTATTATTATTATTATTATTACATTTTTTTTATAGTTGTGAAACAAAAAATTTGTTTAATTTTTTTTTAATAATTTTAAAAAATAGACAAAAAATTATATTAATATTATTATTTGTTTTTATATTAAGGCATTAATAAGGATGCTATTGCGTAATCATCAATATCATCGACAAAACAGTTGCATTGGTGGCGATGGTGTGGGTGGGGGTGTGGGTGGGTATGGGGGTAGTGGCGGAGCACTGGTAGGCTATAGGCCTAACAACAACAACAACACTAACATTTTTAATAATACCCAAATTGATGGCCCAAACTGTACGTCCACCAGCGCCAGTGGCCGCCAACAAAATATTGGTATGTCGTTTATGGGCGGTTCCAATAATAATTGTTTTCATCATTATAATCGTAATTTAAATAATAATAATAATAATAATCGTAATAATAATAATACTAATCGTAAATTTATAAGATATTAATTTTTTGATTATTGTTGTTGTTGTTATTTAAATTGTTTGAAAAACAATTTAAAATAAAAAATACTATTTTAATTAATTAATTTTTTTTGATTATAAATTAAATATTGAATTTTTACAAAAAAAAATTATTTATTATTATCAAATTATTGTATATATAGATATTGTATAATTCAAATATTTTTTATTATATAAAAATAAATAATATTTTCTAAACATAAATTAAATTTAAGTATAAAATAATATAATAATTATTTTATAACAAATTTTTAAACAAAAAATAAATGATAAATTTATTTATTTATTATTATAAATATTTACTGTCCACTTATACAAACATAATAATTATATTTAAAATCTATTTTATATAATATAAAATATATTATATATTAAATAAATATAATTATTATTAAAAAAATTTTATGATAACTGTATTTTTAAAAACTGTGTGTATTTTTGTTAACTAAAAAAATATTTATATTATATATAATTTTTTTTCAAAAAATAATAATATTAATAATATTGCTATTTATAATTACAGCAAACAAAAAAATTTTTGATAAATAAAACTTTAATAAAATTTTATTTATTGTTACATATATTTTATTACTACTGTATAATCATAATATTTATTTAGTAAAACAATAAAAAAATTTATTTATAAAACATAAAAACTATATTTTTGTATTTTTTAAATTTTACAATACTATTAATATTTATACTAAAAACAAAAATTTTTTTTAATGTTTTAATTTTTTTTAGAAACAAAAAATTTAAAGTCCAATCAATTTTCTAAATGATCTAATTTTTTTCCAAACAATACCCATATATTGAAATAGCTTACCAATACCAGGTGCCCATTGAATTAGCATCTGGACTAGCACTGGTAGTTTTCGAGGGTCATCCCGGGCATCGATCGATACGACCATCAATAGTTGTGCCCAATTATGTAGGACTAGTATCAGATAACGATAGATATACACAGGAAACCAATTGAACCAATTTAATAGGTATAGTTGAACTAGCATTAGCAAATTGGCCAGGACAAATGTTAGGGTTGACCATAGTGTGATCAGGGAGGCCCGGGAGTAGTGCCGGTAGACTAGTTGTAGGGCCGACCAAAATAGGGCGCCAATGAATAGCAAATAGACGGGTACTATGACTATGAATATACCTTTAAATTTTTGTTTAATAAATAAAACAAAAAATTATTTTATTTTATTTAATTAGTATTAAATAAAAATCATATTTTTTTTGAATAAACTATTTATACTAAAAAAAATCATAATTTATTTTTTCATAAAACTATTTATATTAAAATATAATATTATATTTATACTAATAAACTATTTATACTAAAAAAAATTCATAAAATATTTTCTTAAAATTATTTATACTAAAAATAAAAATCATAATTTATTTTTTATAAAATTATTATTATTACTACTACTACTACTACTACTACTACTACTACTAATAATAATAATAATAATAATAATAATAATAATAATAATATATTGTATAATAAATTTGTTGTTTTATTAATAATTTTTTTTTAAACAACTAACCGTTCAAATAGTTGTAGAAAAATATCGATTTGATTGATACAAACGGTAAGGAAAATATCAATTGTACGGGTGTTTTGTTGTGTTGATCATTATTATTGTTATTATATTGACGGCACCGGTAGCCCAATGCACTGGCATAATCATGATACATAATTGTATGTATGATTAAGTTGTATAGCAATTGGCCAGGTACCTGCTGCAATTGATGATGATGATGGTGGCCATAGTATTAATATAATATCGGCAATCATTGACATTTTAAGACCCTGGTATATACGTTCACAATGATTTAGCTTGCTAATTAATTGTTTATTATCAGTATCACTATCACTAATATTATTAGACAATTTTTTTGAGGCATAAACTTTTTGACGGACCCTATATAATAGCCATAGGGTTGGCATTAATTTCAATAGGACTGACCATATTGTTGTACTACTAGTAGTACTGGTAAAGCACAGGTAGATTAAGACAAATGTCAAATAAGGTATTATAGTATTTATTTGTAACATAAYTTATATATATATAGTTAAAAATAATCACTTTATTTGAATAATAATTAAAAATAATTTATTGTAAAACAATTTTTTAAAAATAATTTTAAAATAATATTAATATTATTGACTTAAATAATAATATTATTTATAAAAAAATATTAATTTTCAATAATTAATAAAAACATATATTATTTGATATATATATATATATATATATGTAGTTATAATGTCTATACTATACTATATATAAACACACATTTATTTTTTTATACTTTGATCTAAAAAAATAATATATTTTATTATTATTATTATTGAAAATGATTATATGATTTTATTAATTTTTTTTTGTTGAAACAAATTTTTATGAAAATTGCTGTCTAATAATAATATGAAAAAATACTAAAAATAATTATTAATTATTATTATTAAATTATATCACAAGTTTAAAGTCTAATGGTATGACATCTAAAATACAGTACATATAATGTTTTAATAGAAAACTTTTTTTTATAATAAAATTTTTATTTTTTTTTATTTTTTATTTTTGTTATCAATAAATACTGAACTAATATATATAAGTTATAGATATCATTGATTTTATTTTATATGTGATTTTTATTATTGCGATGACTCATATATATAGATATTAATGTATTATTTAAAAAATAAAATAAAATAATATTTTTAATACATTTAAAAATGCACTTTAAAATGTATTTAATCTAGTTTATTTTTATTTTTATAATTTAAAATCAAATCAAATATTTTTATCTATTAAATAAAATGCATTAAATTTTTAAAAAGTTTTATTCAAAAAAATTAAATTAATAAATAATGTATAACTAATAATATGTTTTAGTTTGGAAAAAATATAAGGTATATAATAATAATAATAATAAATGATAATAAAATTATTTTTAACTAAAAATATTTTTTTTAAATACATTTTATTTAAATATTTTTTTTAAACATTTAATTTAAATATTTTTTAAAATACATTTTATTTAAATATTTTTTAAATGATTTAATTTAAATATTTTTTAAAAATCTAACTAACAATTTAAAAACAAAAAAAGTAAAAGAAAATTAACTAGCTAATATTTTTTATTTTTATTTTTATTAAATAATCTGGGTATAACCCGATTGGGATAGGTAGATACTACTAGTCCACCACTACCACTACCACCACCACCACCATTACCACTTTGGCTAACTAATAGTGTCGATACGGTAAACAATAACTGAGCCAGATAGTAGGTAGTCAATACAATTAGCCGATAGTTACGGGGTGTGAGTAGATCGGGTGCTTGAAATAGTTCAAGGCTCAGGCAGGCATCGGATAGGGTAAACAATAGGGCACCAGTTAGTACACAACTGGCCATCAGATGATTGGATTGGTGTCGGTGTCGGTGCAGTCGATTGTGTTGGTATAGGACCAGTGATCGCCATAACATTGTCATTATTAGCAGTGTATAGACGAGCACCAGTATTAATAATGGTCCTAGGTTATATATATAATTTTATATAATAAATAAATTAATTTTTAAAATTAATTAATTAATAATTTGAAATTAATTTGAATAATAGATAAAAATATTAATATTATTATATTAAAATAATAATTTTTTAAATAAATTAATTGAAATATTTAAATTCAAATATTTAACTATAAAATTAATAACATATATTTAATAATAAATATAAATTAATTTTTTTTAATAAATAATAATAATAATTAAATTAATTTATAATCCATAAACATATATAAAATGTTATTTAAAAATTAAAATAATAATTTTAATAAAAAAATCTTAGATATAAATAATAACTTTTATAATCAATAACTTTTTTTAAAAAAAGTAAAATTATTTAGTTATTAATAGTTTTAAAAATTAATATATAATTTTATATTTCTATTACAGATTTTTTTTTAATTATCAAAAAAAATAAAATAATTTAATTAAAAACAAATTTAAAAATATATTTACCTTTTAAACTAAATGACAGTACAATTGCATTGGCAACTATTAGGGGTAGAAAATATGACAAAAAAATTTGGAGTCCCATAGGCTCGAACCCGAGTGCCCATATGTAGTACAGGTGTCCAACAGAAAAACATAGTATACCACTGGTTAGGCACCAGTAGTTTTCGGGCCATACTAGACATAAATCACCTGCTAGTGAGGCTACAAGTGCCCAACCGATACGTTTTGTATAGTAATAGTTATAGTAATGTTTACTATTGTTGATAATATTAATATTATTAACTTTTAGACATAATATTAGCCATAAAATTGGTAACAATTTTAGCAATGCTGTGGACAGGTAGCCATCGCCAGCATCTGTATACTGGAAACATAGGACGACCAGTAGTATGAATGGTGTGACCAGTTTTATGAGACTATTACGTAATGTTTTTTTCATATTATTATTATTATTTGATTAATCAATAAAAAAATTATTATATTATTATTATTATTATTATTGAAATTAATATTTGTTTAACATTTTTGTTAGAATATAATTATAATTTGTTTTTTTTTCAAATAAATAATTTTTAGTTTTTATAACATTACAAATTCAAAAACACATATTAATTATTTTGTTTTTTATTATTATTATTTATTATTATTACGCTACTGTATTATGTATTATTAGTTTATCTATACAATATAATAAATAATATTAGTTTTTTGACATTTTTTCTTTAATAAAATAAAATATAATATGAACATTGATTTTAATATAATTGATTTATACACATATATAACAATTTATTATAAATGTTACTAACATTGATTAATACAGTATTATTATTGTTTATAATAATAATACTAATAAGCAATTTAGTTATAAGATAACAACATTTTAACTTTATTTATCATAGTGTGTGTGTATATGTATGTGTGTGTGAGTGTGTGTGTGTGTGTGTGTGTGTGTATGTCTGTGTAAGTGTGTGTGTGTGTGTATGTCTGTGTAAGTGTATGTGTATGTATGTGTGTGTTTGTATATATGTGTGTTTGTATATATGTGTGTATGTTTTTATGTGTGTTTATGTGTGTATATGTATGTGTGTGTATGTATGTATGTATGTATGTATGTATGTATGTATGTATGTATGTATGTATGTATGTATGTATGTATGTATGTATGTATGTATGTATGTATGTATGTATGTATGTATGTATGTATGTATGTATGTATGTATGTATGTATGTATGTATGTATGTATGTATGTATGTATGTATGTATGTATGTATGTATGTATGTATGTATGTATGTATGTATGTATGTATGTATGTATGTATGTATGTATGTATGTATGTATGTATGTATGTATGTATGTATGTATGTATGTATGTATGTATGTATGTATGTATGTATGTATGTATGTGTGTGTGTATGTATGTATGTATGTATGTATGTATGTATGTATGTATGTATGTATGTGTGTGTGTGTGTGTTTATGTGTGTGTATGTTTTTAATCAATAACTGATTATTTTTTGTTAAAAGTTTTTAAGTGTTTATACAAAATAATATCTTTATGTTGAAAAAATAATATAAAATATTTTATACGATAAATAATTTTTGAAAATTGTAATTCATTAGCACTTTTAGATTATACACACAAAATAAAACAAGTATTTATTTTTTTATAAATTTATACAAAAAAATTATTCAAAAAAATTGTTTTCAAAAAAAACAAACATTTTTTTTAAATAGTTTATTATTATTTAATAATATTTTTCTATTAATATTTAGACACAAAAAAACTAATTTATTTATAATATGCAACTAATTTTGACAACTATTTTCCTATTGTTTTTGTAATGAATGAATAAATGATTGAATAGTAATCATAATAATAATAATAATAATTAAATTCATAATCAATTGATTTGGGCATAACTAACAATTAATTGATTAAATTAAAAATTAACATAAATAATAATAATAATATTAATTTATCATCAAAATTGATTACATAGTGTATTCACTTAACTAAATGCATAATAATTTTTTCAATAAATTTATATAACATATAATGTTTCAAAAAAAAAATTTTGTTTACAAATAGTTTTCATATACTACAACACAAACAATAATAAATTAGTTATTTTTTATATTAAATAAGTTATTAAAACAAATTTTTTTTCAAATATACAATTTGTATAATATTTTTTAATTTTAAATTATTAATACAATATATACTGTATATATTTATATACAGTATAATCAATTACAAGTGATGACACAATGACATAATTATTATATTAAAAAAATTATTATTATTATTTTTTGTTTATTATAATAAAATTATTATTTACATAATTTAAGCTATTGTTTAGTGATATAAAAAAAATTTCTTAACAATAAAAAAACAAATAAAATTGTCATTAAAATATATTACATATTAAATATTTCTGGTAATATAATACATATATATACAGTATATACTGTAATAATATAAAATAAAAATATAATATGATTACTGTGTTTAAATAAATTAAATTAATTTGAATTTTATTACTAGTATTTTGTTGTTTTATTTTATTATAATATAATTTTTTTTGTCATTTATTAACTGTTTAGGTCAACATAAAATGTTTTAATAATATTCAAAAAATAAAAAATAAAATAATGATAAATCTTTATTAATATTTAATAAGTTTTTAAGTTTGAAATTTTATTACATTTTTTTAAAACTTAAAATAATAGTTATAATAATTTTATTTTAATGATTGCATTTAGTTAATGTCACAAATTATTAAATAAATATCATAATAATAATAATAATAGTTATGTTTAACTTATAATACGTTTTTAAATTAATATTTATAATTGTATTTATTATTATTATATAAATATACAGTACATAAAAAAAAGTTGTTAAAACATAAGTTATATATATATAAATATGTATAAAAATTATATAAATATAATAATAAATGATAATTAAAAAAAAAAATTGTTAACAATGCTATTATTTTATCTAGTTAATAAATTTATTTTTTTTACTATATTTAAATAAATTTAAAAAAAATATTATCTTATAAAAAAAATTGTTAAAACATTTATTATTATCAAATAAAAAATTATTATTATCAATATTATTTTTCATTCATAAACATTATTTTTTTGTTGACAAAAAAATTGCTTATAAAATCAAAATAATTGAAAACAATATAACAATAAATTTATTTTATATTAGCATTTTTATTACAAAAAATTTTTTTTATAACACATAAAACTATACAATAAATAAAAATAATTGATAAATATATATATATTGAATATATATGATAATACCTGTATATTATTGTTAAATCTATTATATAAAATCAAATTTTTTTAAAATAAAATAAAATAAATGCATATAATATCTATTGTTATAGACATTACCTATATATTTATAATAATAATAATTTTAAATAAAACAGTTTAGTTTATATCATCTTTAATTTATACACTTTTTTATTTTTATTTTTATTTTTTTATTATTATTATAATCTGAGAAAAATTTTTATAAAAATTTTTTTATGAAAAAACTAGGAATTCCTGTCTATAGTCTTGAAAGTGATTGAAAGTGAATGAGAAAGAGAGAGACAGAGAGAGAGAGAGAGAGAGAGAGAGAGAGAGAGAGAGAGAGAGAGTTAAGGAAATACTGGTATTTTATATTCATTGCAATTAGTTATACAATAAATCTAATGAAAATAAAATCTATTGTATTAAATATAACAACAAAAATAATATTTTCAATTATGTTTGCTTATAGAGTATATATATATATATATATATATATATAATTTTTTAAAAAATTTTAGTTATTATTATTTTTATTATTGACATTTAAATATATTTTATAATAAATATTTTATTATCATAAAACTACTTTATATGCTAATAAATAATATTATATATATTATATATATATATATATACTCTATAATCAGCAATAACAATGAAAATAATATATATATATATATAAAATTAATAACTAATAACATTTTTTTGTTATTGTTAAAAATTGATTGATGTAAAATAAAGCATATTTTAATATTATTTTTTTATTTTCATTTATATAATTTATATTAGATAATTTAAATTATATAAATTTATTTTCAAACAAATATTTCTGTATTATAAATAATATTAAATAAAAATTATTAGATTAATTAAATAATTTATTTTAATCTAAAAATTTTTAAAAAACCAGAAAACGATTTATTATAATTTTTATAATAACATATTATTTAAAATTATTATTATAGTAGAAAATAAAAGTATTTATACAAAATTGATAATTAATAATAATTAAAATATAGTATATAAAAAATCTATCAATAAAAACATATATTTATCACTATGACTATCAATATATTAATATATAAATAATTTTTTAAATATTATTATATGTATGTTAATCTCATATAGGATATGAAAGATTAAATGATTAATTATTTTATATTTTATTATTTTTTTTTGTAAAAAAATATAAATATAAATCAATACACACACAAAACATATTTTTTTAAATATTTGATAAACTATTGTAAAAAAATCAATTTTTATTTTAACATCTAATTTATATATTTTTCTTAATACAACAATAAGATACAACAATAAAAAAAATAATAATAATAAATAATTTTATGGATATTTCTACTATTATTTCAAACAAACAAAATTTTTATTACATACACACACACACAAATCTAAACCATTAAATTTAATGTTTTTTTTCAAATAAAAAAAATACATACAATAATAATATTAAGTAGTATTATATAATATATATATGATAATACAATACTAGCATATAAAATATGCAATTATTTAAAATATAACCAGAAAATCATTTAAATATATATATATATATATATAATATATAACTAAATCCTCTAATAATCATAATTTTGTTTTTTATATATTGTATGCAAAATACTATAACAAAAAAACAAAACTATATATATCAGTATAATATATATATATATATATTAAATGATTTATATACTTATAAAACGATATATATATATATATACAGTATATATATTTATATATATTAATAGTTAATGTCATATGGATTATGATTTGTAATGTGTTTTAGTTTTTTATTATTATTACAATTATTAATGGTAATCATATAACCATATATATATATATTAAGTATATATGATATTTGTAACATCAATTTTTATTAAGTATTATTATTATTATTGAGGAAATAATATAATACTAATATAATTTATTATAATTATTTTAGCAGACAAACAAACAAATTGAATGAAAAAAATTAAATGATAATAAAAAAATTAATTTATATATATATATAATGTATATTTGAATTAGTTATCAATAGATCGGATTTTTTCATTATTATTATTATTGTTAACATAAAAACTCATTTTTCCAAAATACTTAGTATTAGTATTAGTATTATTATTATTATTATCATATCATTGTAATGATAATAATAAAAAAAAAATTATTATTATTATTATTATTATAACACATAGACACCGGTATTATTGAAAACAAGCAAAAAAAAGAGGATAAAATTAATATATATTTATGAGAGAAAAAAAATAACCAAAAAAAACGGTATGTATTAGTAGTACAGTATGTGTCAGTAATATCTAACAGTAAAATATAACTAAACAATAAAAATAACAAATTATTATAATTTTTTTTTTGTATATGACTTGAGGCTATCTATTAGTTTGTTAGGTCTCTCCTCTCTCTCTCTCTCTCTCTCTCTCTCTCTCTCTCTCTCTCTCTCTCTTTCTCTCTAACTTTTACTTTCAATTTCATGCATATATCAACACAACATCAACAAAAAAAAACTAGTATTGACTTTTAGATTATAATATATATATATATATATAAAATAATACATTTTCTATTAGTTTTTAACAATAATAGTAATAAACAAAAAAATTCATATAAACTTTTGATTTTTTTTTGTTGTTGTTGTATAATATTATTCTACTAATACTATTGATTATTATTATTATTATTATTATTATTATTATTTGTTGACCAAATACGTGATTCAATGGGTACATCCAAAAAAAATTTTTTTTTAATTTTTTGTTTGGTATTAACATATATGACATAAATAATAGGTATATAAAGTCAGTGATGATATGATGATAGACCTGGTAGTCAGCAATTGACTGTTTTTTACTACACTAACTATTACTACCAAAAAAATAAATAAAAGGATTTATCGATAGATTTGTGCAAAAAAAATAATAATATTATATTTTAATAAAAAAAGTCAATAAACAACTTATTATTTGATAAATTGTGTGATTTTATACAATATTTTTTTTGGATATTTAGTCAATAAATATTTGATTATAATTTTTGTTTGTTTGTATTATAAAGTCAACTAAAAATATGTTTAAAGTTTAGTAATTGATTTTATGTTATAATTTTTATAATACTATTTGATTTATTTGTTTCAATTTATTTTTAATTTGTTATATAAAACTATTTGATTTTTATTTTTTTAAATAATAATAATATTTATTTTTAAATTTTACATTCAATAATAGTCAACGTTATTAGTATTTACATCAATATTATATGTGAACGCCGGTGGAGGAGGCGGTGGTTATGGTGGCGGAGGGGGTATTAAGGGTGGAGGAGGCGGTTTTATTAGCTCAGGTGGCGGCGGTTCAAGTGGTGGCGGTTTTATTAGCTCCGGAGGCGGCGGTCACGGAGGATATGGTGGTGGCGGCGGTAAAGGTGGCGGCGGAGGAGGTTTTATGAGCTCAGGTGGCGGTTATGGCGGTGGCGGCGGTGGTGGGTTCAGTATGGGCTCGTTTGGTGGTCATATGGGCGGCGGCGGTATGAAAGGAGGTGGTGGCGGTGGTTTTAATTTTATGGGCGGTGGCGGTAGCTTCGAGGGTCAGGGACAGGCTCACACTGGTAGCGGACCCATCAACATAGCCGTCCATCGGACACATCGGATATCGACAATACCCGTACCCGTACAGGACGATGTTGGCCAACCGCAAGTCATCGAAATAGATTCGGGCGAATTGCCACTGATATTGAAGTTTAACTCCCGATCATCGAGTATACAGGTATCGCAGTCGCATACGGGCGGCGGCG